TCTGGGGCCCTGTCACAGGTGTGCTCCCTGGGTGCGCGGGAGCCGTGGGCAGGGCTTGCTTCAGGCAAAGCAGACCTTTCACTAAAGAAGCCATGTGTCGGGGCGTGCCCACCGCCAGGACCCGCCCAGCTGGGCATGTATGGTCAGACCACCTGCGAGGTGACTGCATCACTGGACTTGTCAGTTTCATTGCAGACCCTTTGTGCCCACGGAAATTCCCTCTGCCCTTCGACATGCCCCCGTCCAGTGTTCATGTGTTTGTTCACTGTTTATGCCTTACTGTCTGCCCTACGAGGTGCCCGGGCCCGGAACCAGCACGGCTCTCAGCACCCTGTTCCTTTCACTGGAGGGGGACCTGGCCTAGATGGTCACTGTCACCATCACTAGTCTGCTGTTATCCTACCCCGCTGCAACACCAGGGGTCGGCCAGCTCGCTTCCGCCCTGGGAGGCCAGCCCTGACCCCGCCCCCCAGCTCTGCGTGCTTTTACTGAGTCTCTATCCCCCGGTGCCCTGGAGGCCTGCGGTCTCTGCACCCTGGCCTGGCCCAGGACAGGCTCGGAAAGAGCCGCTGTGTCTGCGGCGGGAGGTGGCCAGCACTGGGAGCCGCCTCTCCGGGAAGGGGGCGTATCAGCCAGCAAATGGTCGGCAAGCAGGTGCGGGGGGACAGGAGCGCAGCCGGGCGGAGAGGACCAGCTGCGGTGTCCGAGACGCTGTGCTGGGAACAGTGTGTGCCCGCGCCCCTGGGCGGGCTGCCCCTCCGGAGCAGTGCCCGCTGTAGCACCGCCATACCTCTCCGGTGGCACAGCCCTGAGCCCACACAGGATGCGGACTGCATAGTGCCCGCCCAAACTATGTGTGCCCTCCAGGCCTTCGCCTTGCTGTCCACGCCCAGGTTGAGCCTCCCATCTCGGGCCTCACCTTCCCTGATGACCCCCCGGCCCCTCCCAGGGCGTTAGGTGGCGACCCTGCCAGCTTATCTCTGTGGATGCCCTATCATGTGTGCCAGTTTCTAATGCTAACAAATATTTACTGAGTGTCTGACCCTGTCGTTGGCAGTATGCTCGGCATCCGGCCTCGCCTCGGTCCTGGGGTGGGTGCTGCTACCCCGGCTGAGGCGAGACACCTTCCCCACGCTCCCAGCCAGGCAGGGCAGAGCGGGCATGAATTCAGGCAGGCTGGCTCCTGGCGGGCTCTCAGCCTCCAGGTTCTTTCTTTGCCAAGACAGACACCACACTGTCCTGACGGCACGTGTGCAGCGGGAGGCAGCTGCAGCAAGCAGGTCCGCGGTGCATGGTGGTTTGGGACTTGGGTGCCTGCTGTGAGGAGGCGGGCGGTGGGGGTGTCTGTGTGGAACGGAACATGGGACCACACACTTCAGGTGACCCTCTGGGCATCGGATGCCCCGAGCCCAGCCCCTCCTGCTTTGAATAAAATAAGAAAGAGCTATGAGAGCATCCGAAGGCCTTTGTAAAGCCATTTCTACCCTCTGTGGAGACGGAGGAGGTGCAGAAGGACCGGAGGAGTATGGGAGTTTGCTTGGCCACCGCCCAGACCCCCGTGAGCCCGGCCCGCCTGCCCCCTGAACGCCGCAGCCTGCATCTAGCCTTCAGGGTAGCTCTATAACCGAACCACAATGCCATTGTCCCACCCGGAAGCAAATTGTCAATAATTCCTCAGTACCATCGACTGTCAGTGGCGCTCACTTTGTGAATGCCATGCCTCTTTCTTTGTTTGCTGCTGAGTCAGGCTCCAGCTGCAACCCCACCTGGGCTGTAACCGCCTCTTCCCAGTTTCCCTCACTGCGGCCGCTCCCTCTCCTTCTCTCACCCCTGATTTGTTGGAGAAACTGGGTTACTTCCTCGCTGAGTCCCCACAGTCTGGGTTTTGTAGGTTGACGTCTGTCTGTGGTCAGTGGTACAGACACTGGGTCCTGCTCACTGGGGCTGGGCAAAGCCTGGCTTTCAGCCTGTGCCCGGCCGGGCCCACCAGGCCCTCCGCACAGCTGTATTGCAAGGCAAGGTTAGGAGACACTTAAAAGCCATAGCGGTGGCTCAGGCCGCTGCACTGAAAGATCACGGTTCTGTTCCAGTCAGGGCATGTGCCTGGTTGGGGTTTGATGGATGTTTTTCTTTCTCCCTCTTCCTTCCTCTCTCTAAGGTCAATTAACATATGTGTGGGGGGGGATTTTTTTTCAAAGAGAGAGACTTAAAAGTCGTATCAGCCAATCACGTTAACATCATGTGGATCCCAATTTAAATAAACTGAGATACAAAATGTATGAGACATTTATGAGACAATAGGGCTTTGAACTGAATATTTCGTAATGTGAAGGAATTTTTGTTAGTTGTTTTTAACATGATCGTAGGGTTGACTCTTAGTTCTTCCGTTTAGAGATGCATGTGAAATGCTTACAGATAGTGTGATGTCTGAGGCCTGCCCCAGGGGCACGTGGAGGGAGGGGGCGGGCAGACGGAGGTGGGCCGCCAGGTGCTGACGGACGCTGGGTGGGCTGCGTCTCTGTACTCTCTTAGTTTGAGATGTCCCGCAGCAAAGACGTGGCTCACGAAGCCCTTCGGTACCGCGTGAGGCTGTGTACTCCGTGAGCACCTTCACGGGAGCATTTCTTGTTGGATTATTTCCGTAGGAAGCGCTCTGACCTGACACAGGACCGTGGAGGGTCCTGTCTCGTTGTGGGGGGCTCTTTCCTTCCACAGCCCGCGTGGCCCCTGCTCGCCCACAGCCCGTGTGTCCCCTGCTGACCCACAGCCCGCATGGCCCCTGCTGACCCACAGCCCGCGTGGCCCCTGCTGACCCACAGCCCACATGTCCCCTCCTGACCCACAGCCCGCGTGGCCCCTGCTGACCCACAGCCCA